ACGACAGCAACTTGTCTGTTCTCCTTCCCCCAATTCCCCAGCACTGTTCCCATCCCAATTCCCCAATAAAAATCTTTAAAAAAAAAACAAAAAAAAAAACTACATCATACTCTGTGTAGTCTTAGGCAACTTGTTTTCACTCAGCATTAGATTTCTATGATTAATCCATGTTAATCATAGTGAGAAGCTGTAGTTCATATACCTTTATTGCTATATAACTTCCCATTGTGAATATATACAGCCATATTTTATCCATTTTCCTATTGCTTCCCCGTATTTTGACTCTATAAACAATGTCACTGTGAACATTGTGATACACATGAGCAAGAATTTCTCTTAGATTATATACTAGTAGACACTAATCCTTTGTGACATTGTTACAAATAATTTCACCCAATTTGTAGCTTGTTTTACATTCAAAAGCTGACTTAATTTTAAAAAATTCTTTCTGTGATTGAATTTAACAAGCTTTTATGGTTTATGGTTTTAAAAAATCTTAGAGAGTCTTCCCTTTTCTGTAGTCACAGATTTTCTTTTATATTGTCTTTAAAATTTTTGAAGACTCACTTTTTTACATTTAAGTATTTAGTCCATCTGGACCATTTATTGAACAGTCCTTTGTATTAGTTATCTATTATTACGTAACAAATTACCTCATGCTTAGCATTTAAAGTAATAGGCATTTATGATCTCACAGTTTCTGTGGGTCAGAAATCTGGCTGCAGCTTAGCTGAGTGGTTCTGGCTGAGGGTCTCCCATAAGGTTGCAGTCAGGTTGTCGGCTGGGGTTGCAGCATCTCAGGCCCTCTGGCTCACTCACATGGCTGTTGGCAAGCCTCAGACCTTACACTTCCAAGGTCGCTCACTTGCTTTCTAATAGTGCTGGGTTCCTCACCACGTGAGTCTCTCTGAGTTACCTGAGTATCCTCCCAACATGGCAGCTGGCTTCCCCCAGAACTAGTGGCTCAAGGGAGTAATAAAGGAAGACAGAAGTTGTAGTCTCTTTATTACCTACTCTCAGTAAGGACATTTCATTCCTTCTACCATGTTCTATTCAATAGAAGCAGTCACTATGTCCAGTCCACACTTAATGGGAGGAAAATTAATCTCCACCTCTTAAGGGAAGGAGTATCAAAGAATTTTTAGACATGTCTTTAAAACCACCACATTCCTTTCCTTGGCTCTCTATAGTGTCAACTCTGTGAGATATGATTTGTCTATACACACCAATCTATTTCTGACCTCTTCTGTTCCATTGGTTCAATTTGTATATTCCGCTTTTTTCTAATCTTAAATGTGGGTACACGCCCAAGATTTATTTCCTGACCTTCCGTTTTCACTTTGCGTTTACTTGCACATTTATGCTGAGAGAGTATCCATTCTTCTATCTTAACCTATTAACTCTTAACTGAAGACTCCAAACTATGTGCCGGACATCATCTCAGACTCTTCATGTCTGTAACCAGATTCCGTTTCATGTATCTCTTCTTCACGGAAAAAAATATGATAGTTATGATCCTGATTATGGCGGAATTCAAGGCCCTGGATTAGTGTTTACCACTCACTGTTCAATGGTATCGGCTTTGATACCAGACCTGCGCCGAATTTTATCTGTTTGCTGGATATGTATGACCTTAAGTAAAACAAAGGCCCCGCCCTCCTTGAATTTACATTCTAGGGAAAAGCAGACAAATAATACTGTCAGTGGTAGTTACAATGGAGGAAAACTAGAACAGCATAAAGGGAATAGGTACTGTGGGATTGGGGACACTGTTACTTAATGTAGTGTGGTTAAGGAAAGGCCTCTGTGGTGAGGTCATTGTAACAGGGAGCTGTGAAGTAGGAAGCGAACTATGTACAGTGTTCCCCCTAATCCACAGGGATACAGTCCAAGACACACAGTAGATGCCTGAAAGCACAGACAGTATTGAACCTTATATATGCTCTGTTTTTTCTTATGTATACACACCTATGATAAGGTTTAATTTATAAATTAAGCACAGTAAGAGATTAACAACAATAACTAATAAAACAATTACAACAATATATTGTAATTTATGTGAATGTGGTTTCTTGAAATATATTATTGTACTGTGCTCACCCTTCTTGTGATGATGTGAGATGATGCAGTGCCCATGTGATGACATGGAAGTGAGATGAATGACCTAGGTGTTGTGACGTAGCCTTAGGCTGCTATTAACCTTCTGACTATATCTAACAAGCACTTTAAGGCTTCTCTTTGGCATATCCAACTTGCCCAGCATCATTACTCCTGAGCTATGGGACCATTCTTAAGGAAAATAAGGGTTACTTGAACACAGTCCCTGTGATTCCTTGACAGTCAGTCTGATAACCAAGAAGGCTATTAATGACCAATGGGTGGCTAGTGGATACAGTGAAGATACCCTGAACAGAAGGGAGGATTCACATCCCAGGCGGAGCGAGAATGGTGCAAGATTTCATCCAGTACTCAGAATGGCATGCAATCTAAAACTTATGAATTGCTTTTTTCTGGAATTTTTCATTTAATATTTTTTACCACAGTTGACCATGGGTAACTGAAACCATGGATAAGGGTAGAATACTTTATTCCAGGCAGAGGGAATAGCCATTGCAGAGGCTCTGAAAGAGGAGTTTATCCAGTGTCTTTAAGGAATAGCAAGGAGACCATTTTGTATAAAGAGATTTGGCAAGGAAAAAGTAGCAACATGAGGTCAGAAATACTAAGGGAGAAATGGCTCTTGTAATTGTACGAACTTTGGTTTTTATTCAGAGAGAACTAAGAAGGTATTGGAGAGGTTTGAGCAGAGGATAAAATTTTCTGCCTTATATTTTAAAAAAGATGACTCTGGCTGATACATTGATAATAGATTGAAGCAGGGAGGAGCAAGGACAGAAACAGGAGAATCAGTTTAGAAGGCTATTAATGTATAATCCAGGCAAGAGGCAATGGTGGTTTTGATGGTGGTGGTAAGAAGTGATCAAGATTCCAAATACATTTTTTTTTTAAAGATTGTTTTGGGGGGAACATTGTGTTTTTCCAGGACCCATCAGCTCCAAGTCAAGTTGCTGTCCTTCAGTCTTAGCGGAGGGCGCAAGCTCAGTTTCAAGTCCAGTCACCGCTTTCAATCTAGTTGCAGGGGAGGAGGGGAGCATAGTTCATCCCATGTGGGAATCGATCCCGCAACCGTGTTGCACACTGAGCCATCTGGCTGCCCGTCGGAGCTGCCGCTGCTCAGCTCAAGGTGCCGTGTTCAATCTTAGTTGTGGATGGCAACCCACCATCCCATATGGGTGTCGAACCAGCAATGTTGCTAAGAGCTCGCGCTCTTAACAAACTGAGCCACTCAGCTGACCCCAGACAGACATTTTTAAATAGAGCCATCAGCATCTGCTGAAGGATTGACCTCTTGGTCACACCACCATATCTGGGTTTTTTGTTTTGTAGAAAATTGATAATATACAATTAGAAAAAGGAATTATCTTTCATCTTCTGTTCAAAGGTGACCACTGTTAACATTTTGATGCATAACCTTTCTAGTTTTTGTTGTGTATGAATGCATAGATGTAGACACATACACAATGGATTGTTTAAACAAACTTTATATTTAATGAATATTTTTCTGTATCATTAGATAGTCCCTAACATTTTAATGACTGCATAATGTTTCATTGTATGAATGAATTATAGCTTATTTGGTTTCCTGTCAACATTTAGGATGCTTCCAGTTATTTCCTGTTAAGGAAAGCATTTGAAAGAGCATCATTACATTTTCTGAAGCATATGCATGATCAGGAAAACAAATTTCCAACTACTTTTTGAGACCTGGAGTACCTGCAATGAGACCTTTTACTAAGCTCATGAAATAGCATCTCTTTGCATACAGTCTCTTGGCTTTACAGTTACCCTTGTGTTTTAAATAAGAATACCTCCAATTCACCCCTTTTGATTTTAATAGTAATAGATAAGACGTTCTCTGAATTTCAGGCTAATATTTAGTAGATACTGTGAGCAAATGAATTTTTGTATTGGCTGGTATACTAATTTCTATATTCAGGGAAAAATAAAACCATGTTTGTTGAGAGTTGCAAGTAAACTTTTAAATGTTTTTCACCGTCTATGTTTAATTTGTAATAAGAATTTATATTTTCTATAACGTTATATATTTCTATAGTTAGTGAGCTAGTTTTTAATAACCAATATTTAACGTTTTAAGGACTCATGTTTTGGGTACAGTAATACTAATGCCCCTCCCCCTTTTTTGGTTTCACTTTGTGTAGATTGCTTCTATCTTTGCTTTTGCCACCTGTGGAGGTTTTAGGGGCAACACAGAAATTCTAGTGAGTTGTCCTAAAAGTCATGAAAATAAAACGATTACAGCTTCTTTTGGATATCCATTCAGGTGAGTTACTTGCTTTTATGGTTTAACGACTCCTTTTACTCTCATATTCAGCCATTTCCAGGAATTTTTTAATCTTGGGGGGCGGGGTAGAAAATTTTAAATGGCATCCTCATTTGTAAATAGTGATCACTGCTACTCAAACTGTGGTACATAGACCAGTGCCTGTCTACAAACTGTTTTCCTGGTCTATGATGAAATAAGTATGGAAAATGAGAGTACACATTTAGAAACTTTTATATGACATTGCCTTGACATCTTTATTCTGTCATCCCACAGTGGGTTAGAAATTTTAAAACAAAGCAAAACAGAGACCACTCCATCACCGTAGAGTGAGAAGCCATGATTTGGGAACAAATGCTACTTAGAAAAACCCAAATTTCTCATGTGTTTGCCATTAGTAAACAGTAATATTCTTTATATAGTTTTAGGACATGTGTTTATATATGAAGTGAAGAGTTCCTGTGCTTCTTTCACTAGCATAAAGCTTTATTTTTTTACTCTCAAACAAAATATTCAAAGTAAAATGAATATTTTGTTTGTGAATTTTTGTTTGACTTTAGTATTCATTGAATAGTTTATTGAATGTGTTCTATGTTTCAGCCAGGGTATGAATCTTCTTCCACTTACTAACTACTTATTTGTCCTTTCTAGGACTCAGTTTTTCTGTTTAGTAAATTGGAAATATTACCTTTTAAGGTTGTTCTGATGATTAAGTACAATCTTACACATTAAAGATATGTCAGATGGGTAGTGCTTGGTATCATTGCCTCACCATCTCCCAACTCTTCCCTTATAAAGTTCCTTTACAAGGAACTGTTACTGCCTCTTGAGTGATAAATGCTCTTGTGATTTACAGATAGGGAAAATTAAAGAAAATGTGAAGTTAGCCCCTAATTAATCCAGAGTTAAAATGTGAATCATAATTGCTTTTTCGGTTCTAGTCACAGACTCTGTCTCCTAAAATGGATTATCATGTCTTAAATTGTAAACGGTTTTGTATCGGCCCTCTTAATTTGCTAGATTTTTACTGCAGGAAGATAGTATCTGGGTTTGAAAGTATTTCATTCAATCTATCATAAATCAATTACCAGGTATATTTTCTGTATATATCTTAGGAAACTTTTAATTTGCTCAAATATTTGAGTTTTCCCCCTTTTTTTCAAAAGGAAAATTTTTTTAATATATTTGGGGAGTGTTGTTTGAAATGTCATTTCAGTATTCTGCCTATGTCTCTGTTGGGAGAGTCCAGGTAATTCATACATTTATTTGAGCCTTTTTTTAATAGGTTGAATCAAGCATCGTTTAAGGCACTTCCAGATGTAAATGTGTGTGGTATTGACTGGAAAACTCAAGTCCTTATTGGTGATTACTCTTCCTCTGCGCAATTCTACGTGACGTTTGCAGTCTTTGTCTTCCTGTACTGCATTGCTGCTCTTCTGCTCTATGTTGGTTACACAAACCTGTATCGGGATAATCGCAAACTTCCCATGGTTGTAAGTAATCACTTTCTTTTTATACAAAAATCGTTTGTATAAGTGTACATTATATTTGAAGTTGAATATGGATTTTCTTCCACTGGAAATAAAAATTCTTGGCGTAAGCCAGCTCGACATATTGTGACCTTTGCTTGCCATGAGGTTGAGCTTTGTCCTGTTGTCATGTTTAAGCCAATGCTTTTAACCTGTTTGCAGCGCTTTTTCTGCAGTCTAAAGAGTGCAGAGGTTTATTTCTAACTATTTTAACCTGGGAAAAACTCAAATATGTGATAGAGCGTAGTAGGCTACAAGTAGCAGAGAACTTAAGTAGAAAATAATGCCTTTGATTTGAGGAATTGCTGACCATAGTAGTAATCTCATAATTTGTATTCCTACTTCTTACCTTTTTCCTCTTTTCCCAAAGGCCCACTTTATGCCTCTACATTGTCTTATTGAGCTGAGTAGTCTATATCAGGAATCAGCAAACTATAGCCCACAAGCCAAATCTAATTCATTCTTTTCTTTTTTAAATAAATTTTTTTGGGAACACAACCATACCTAACCATTTACGGATTGTCTATGACTGCTTTCATGCTACAGTGGCAGAGTTAGTTGTGATAGAGATCACAAATATTTACATCTAGCCCTTCCCAGGAAAAGTTTGCCAACTCCTGGTCTTCATTTTTTTTTAAATTTAAAATCTGACCCAGATAATTCTATAACAGTTACAGAATTCAGCATTAGTGGCATTCATGAGCTATTTTTGAAACTTCGAGATGGCAACAAAGGATTTGGATTTGAAGTCCTAACACTTTTTGGTTTCAATCTGCTGAGCTAAAAATAAAAATAATCTCTGATATTTAGTTAGTAGAATCTGCCCTGGATTCTTGGTGGCAGATCCAAAGGTAAGTCCTGATTTGAAGCTGGACCTCCACCAAAAAAGAATGAGGACAAAGTCAGTGGTAGTCTTACTGACTTGAGAGAACAGAGGTGTTTTGGGGATACTAGTCATTTATATCTTGAGAAAATACTGAATATGCTAATTATTTGTCAAGTTACTTTAAAGGGAAGGCTATTTAAGTATGAAAAATTAGCAAGTAAGATAACAGGTTTTATTTATTTACTTATTTATTTTTAATTTTGCTGCCTGGATCATAAGAATGCAAACGACGGTAAGTAAGGAATAAAACAATCTTTTGTCTTCATAGTTCGTTTCTTATATCTAAGAAGAGAGTCTTAAACCTGACATCTTTATAAAACACTTCTTGGTTGTTAGGTGTCTTTCAAAAAAACAGACATCAACTATTTAATTTTCAGTGCTTAATCAACAGAAATGACATTATGAACCTATAACTTCTACAGACTTTTCAAGCCTTGTTTTAAAAGGAACTGTGATGATCAGATACTATATTTTGTTAAAATTATTTATAATTAAAATTCTAAATGAAGATATTTATTGCCATTTTGTCATTATATCAACAAATTTTTAAGTTAAATTTAGCAATGAGCTTTTTATTTCTCATTTGATTTAGTAAGCTTTAAAATTACTATACTTTTTAAAAAAGTAGCATTCAAATCTATGTTTTGTAGAGGGTTTTTCTTGTCTAATAAAACTATATAACTGATATAGTTGCATTATTCAGAAAGTCAAAAGTGATTTTTCACCTCAAGAGTAATCAGTTAGTGGTCATTCAGAAAGAATACAGAATTAGTTTCTTAAGTGGTTTTTTTATTGATATAATATATAATGGATGCTTCTTGTCTGCAAAAGTTTAGCTTTAGGGCAGCTGGTTAGCTCAGTTGGTTAGAGCGCAGTGCTCATAACACCAGGGTCGCCGGTTCGATCCCAACATGGGCCACTGATTTGCACCCTCCACAACTAGATTGAAGACAACTACTTGACTTGAAGCTGATGGGTCCTGGAAAAACATACTGTTCCCCAATAAAGTAATTACAACAACAAAAAAGAACATAAAGGCTTTCTTTTAAAAAAAAAGTCCAGCTTCTAAATTTTTGAATTCTGCCTTTTTTTTTTTTAGCTGAGCCATCCTGCCACCTATTGGCAGCTCAGCTCGGGCCAGGCATCAAACCACTGTTGCTCAGAGCTCACACTCTTGAGCGAGCTCTTAACCAACTCTTGATCCGTTCGGCCAGCCTTTGAATTCTGCATTTAATTTAACCATATAAATGTAAAAAGAGTTTTCTTGAGATACCCACATTTTTAAATATAGCCAAATATGATATTGATTTTTTAAAAAGTACTGTTTGTTAATGAGGACATGCTTTTATTTTAGCAGTGTTCTCAATTCTCTGATAAGGTATTTCTAGGAACATTTCAATTTTCACATTTTAAATCAACTTGAGTTTCTTTTGTAAGTAAATGTACCACTTTTTTGGGTTAAGTAGCAGGAACTTAAGGGTTTTAGGCCACGTGGATAATCAGAAGTACCATGTCTTAATCTGTTAGGAATCATATTTTGATTATTGGTAGGAGCAGGAGGGCTGCCAGAGGCCACTGTAGGTTGTGCGCTGCAGGTGTGCGTGGTGTAGCTTACCTAGAGTTCTGAGTAGGACAAAGACTGTTCAGAGGCCCACATTTCCCCTACCTCCCTCACCCTAAGGTTACCCTTTGCATCATTTTCAGAAAAGTACCTACTTTTGAAATACAGGAATGTCACTCCTTAAGCAAAGTAGATTTAAAGAGAATAATCAAAAAAGAGAAAAAACAGTGTGTTGTTTAATTAGGAATTTGGAAGGAAGAAACCTGCAAATTCAGAGGATTTGACATACATTGGTCAAAGCTATGAACTTTAGCCCAGAGAGAACTTGTTTAACATGTGATAACCTCATACTATTTATCCATTCTCCAGAAGGCGTTGTATTTTTAGCAAGTGTTTAGGAAATGTCTACCACCGCAAGAAAGTACAGCAGAGTACAACAGCAAAAAGGAGAGTACTCCCTCAATGCAAAAATTTTAAGCTGTAATGTTTCTGTCCTTTTCTCTTTGATTTACTTTTTTTTAAGAGGACCAGTAACAGTGGTGAGCTCAAATGCAAAATGCATGTTTGTAAAATTAATCATATGGTTTTTGGTTCTGAAATCACAAGACATTTATTCAATGTCATCTTGACCAGGTAGACAAGCTATATATAGCACACTTTCTGTATCTCATAAGTGGTCACTGCTGTTTATCCTAAATAAATAGCTAAAAGCTCATTGGCAAAAGTAATTAAAAACTAATCAGATTTATTTTAAAAGCAGAACACTTCTGTGATAAGTTCCAGAACTATTTCTGAACTTGGACAGAGTTATTCTGCACTTGTGTACAAACTGATAGCCTTGATTATACCCGAATGCTCAGAATACATAACATTAAAAGATACAAATTTTTCATTTTTCCTACTTTGGTCATTCATTTAGATGAGGCCCAAACAAGGTGGGCCTTATACTTCATATTACACAAATGCAATCCTTAAAAATGTGTTAGATGGGGTGGCTGGATGTCTTAGTTGGTTAAAGCACGTGCTCTTAACAACAAGGTTGCCAGTTCGACTCCCGCAGGGGATGGTGGGCTGCGCTGCTCCCTCCCCCCCAACTAGATTGAAAGCAGCAACTGGACTTGGAGCTGAGCTTGCACCCTCCACAGTTAAGATTGAAGGACAACGTGACTTAGAGCTGATGGGTCCTGGAAAAACACAATGTTTCCCTTCCCCAATTCCCCAATAAATCTTAAAAAAAAAAGAAAGTGTTATTTTATTTTGTTTTTTTTAAGAGCGGCCGCTCAGCTCAAGGTGCCGTGTTCAGTCTTAGTTGCCGGCGGGCATAGCCCACCATCGAACAGGCAGTCTTGTTAGGAACACGTGCTCTCACCAGCTGACCCATCCTGCCACCTGTTGGCAGCTCAGCTCGGAGCACAGCGTCACTGACCCATGTGGGAATCAAACTGGCGATCCTGTTGTTCAGAGCTCTCACTCTTGGGCAAGCTCTTAACCAACTGAGCCAATCGGCCAGCCCCTTTTAGATTTTTTATAGCAATACTAGTGGATAGAATTTTAGTTTCCCAGTAGAATAGATTAAGGAGAATAAATGTTTTTTTCCTTTCTTTATCTTACTAATTCAGTTAAGAATCTATCTAAAATATTAAAAAAACAGTTCTATTCTTGGAAATGTAATAAGTTGGAAAGACTTTAGTAGAAAATTACTAGTGATAAGATAACTTAAGAGATTTTTTTTGTCTTTTCTTATAATGAACATTCTTAAAATTCCTTGATCATGAATTTAAAAAGACAAGTCTTGCTGGATGGGTGCTTTTCACCATGTCATTACCTGTATTACAGAGAATTAGCTTTAGTTAAAGTTAGAGTTTTGTCAGAACAATATGAGAAAGCAGGAGACGAGGAAGGGAGTTGAGAGTATGTGCAAGGGGTTATAATGAAGGACCTTAGAATGTAATTAAGGAGGGAAATGAGAGCGTAAGTGAGGTTGGGAGACAGTAAAAAAAAGAAAAAAGTGATAAGATCAGATTTTTGAGGCTGGGGTGCCAAAGGGAGGGAACTGGAAAGAGAAGTGATATTGGGAAGTGGGATGATTGAAATAGAGATTATGGAGGGATACGGTTATTGGTGATAGCAGTGTCTATCTTGGGGGAGTGGATGGCTTAGGTATGATTTCTATTGTAAATAGCTTTGACTCCTAAAGAGATGACTGTGACTTTAGTGTTATAGCTATTATCACTGGGCTAGTAATACTACAGAGCAATGTTTACTATGTTGACTATGGCCTTTTTAATAAAGTGTACCATGAAGGTCCTTTCTCAGTATCATAGGGTTCAATATGATCTCAATTCCTTCATCATGGAATTAAAATTTAGTATTTTTACATTAACTTTATTATTATTATTATTATTATTTGGTGCCAATGATAAATATTTTTAATTAAATTTATTGGGGCGACAATGGTTAGCAAAATTACATAGGTTTCAAGTGTACAGTTCTATACTACATCATCTATCACATTGTGTGCTCAGCACCCAGAGTCATTTAACTGTTCCTTATTAACTCATACTTGTTTTTGCTCTAGGACTTCGTTGTGACTCTCGTAGTCACTTTCTTGTGGCTGGTGAGCACTTCAGCCTGGGCTAAAGCTCTTACAGACATTAAAGTAGCCACAGGTCACAATATCGTCCAGGAGCTGGGGCCTTGTAAACAGGGAGTGACGTGTTCTTTTGTCTCTGTGACTAGTATGGGATCCCTAAATGTATCTGTGGTATGTATGCAGTATTTATAAAATATTTTATTTCACTTATTAGAAAAACCTTATTAGTAATTTAAGAAAACAATAGCTTTTAATAATCTCTAGATGAATATGTTTTTATTTTTACTATAGTCTTTACCTTTATAACAACGAAGAAAAGTTTATTAAGAAAATTAGGAAACAAGTTTGAACAAGATCATAATTGAGTCTTCTTTTTATTAAAATTGACTGGGCGAGACTTTTACCTGAAAGGCACTAATAATAGTCACTAACATTTATTAAGATTCTATGCCAGGCATTCCACTAAAGCCATTGCACTTATATGTTAGTTATCTGAAAATCCTAAGAGGAATGTGGGGGTGGTATTACCATCTTCATTTTACAATTGGGAAAAAATGGAGTTCGTATTAATTTGCCAAAGTTGACAACTAGTAAGCTGGCAAGCCCAGGTTTGAACCAGACCTGACTTTAGAGCCCTTTCTGTAATCTGACTTTCTCTGAGTCTTTCCATTATACTTATATGGTTTCTTAAATCACCAAAAAACTTAGGTCTATATAAATTTATGTTAGTCCACTATTTTACCAAAAAGCAGATAAACATTATTAAATATATAACAATATACTGAGGATATTATGTTTAGGGAGGTCTCATGTCTTTTCAAGAAAGTTATTTTTCCGGTAGATGAAGTCAGCACTGCCTTATACAGCAGTTTGGCCAAATATTTGCTTTATAACTTTGTAATTGTAATTGAAAAGTTGCGCTTTTTTTGCATTTATATTGAAAATATCTGAGATGGACAGTTTCAGAAATGTCGTCATTATATGCAGATATACAAAAGGCTATAAAGCATTTGGCCTTCAGTGATATGATAGTACTATCAAGCTTCTTACCCCATTCTTTCTTTATTGTCACTTTCATTCTTATATTTATAAAATATAAGAATATATTTCAAATACAAAACCATGAAAACAGTGTAGCTTCAGTTGATTCATCTCTGAGACTTGCGTCTTGTCAGATTCATACCTGAGAAGACTGATTTCTTTTAGATGTGCAATAAAGTTCTTCTGACTCCTTTTCTCTCCTGGTTGCAGCTGTTGGAGCAGGAAAAAAGGTAGTGGAGGGATGAAGTAGGGAGATAGGAAAAGATACAAGGCAGTTTAAAATGAGGGTTTTAGTTACTTTCTCAAATTTAATCCCATCTTTTGGGATGCATGCAAAAACAAGATTTCTTTTAGTTATGATTTTATATGTTACAAGTTTAGACATTTAGTTTTATTTCATTGGGAATAAGTCATTATGTACCCAAATTTGGCATTGAAATGTAAAATCTTCCCTTTTTACTTCACTTCTGTAGTTTAAACTTGAAATGAAATAATAGTATAGTGTCTGGAAATGTTAAATATTTAAAGAAAAACGAAGATGGGTCTGAATTTTTAAGTAGATATTGTCGTGTTCATTTTTCTGTTTCTTAGATCTTCGGCTTTCTGAATATGATACTTTGGGGAGGAAATGCATGGTTTGTGTACAAGGAGACCAGCTTACACAGTCCATCGAATACTTCTGCTTCCCACACCCAAGGAGGTCTTCCACCTCCTACCGGAATGTAATTAAAGGGAGAAGTCCGCTGTATGAAATACATCTATACTATGACTTGTTGCCAACATCTTGAGAAGCATTATTTGTTTCTAATAAAAGTAATGTTTTTTTCAGTAAATTGGTGGGTTTAAAATTTTGCTGCTTTTTTACATAAAGCCTGTGCCTTTCTGGGAAATTTAAGATGTAAATGTATTCTCACATGTAAATTTGAAAATTCAGGGGCCTATTATGAGATGATACACATTTTTAAATGAATGGTCATTTCTTCACTAAGTTGTTTGCCTTCCAAAGTGTTTACACCTTAAGCCTTAACATATATTATCACTCAGAAAAGAGTTATATTGTCATATCATAATAGGAAGAAAATCTCTATTTGGAATATACACTTCTGTAAGTTTGTACAGATCATATACCTAAAACCTGTCTTTAAGAAAGCCTTGATTACATAAATCATATTTAGAAAAAACATTGAGCTCAGAATTTATATCTGAACATTATTTATATGTTATGAAAAATTTTTAATGGCAAAGACTGGGTGTATGTTTTATTTCTGTTTTTCTAAATGGCCTACAGTAGTACTTAATCGGTGTGCTAAAGTTGTTTTGGGAGCAGGGTTAAAAAATTCTGATAGATGTATAGTAAATTTAGAAATTCTGTCTCATGACCAGCTTCCATTATGCTGGTTGTTGAATAGACTTGCTGTGTAAGTAGAAAGAACATGTTCAATTAGATGTTTTGATATGTACGGGCATTACTCTTAGTGATAGTTGTTTGCTGTCCTTTGTTGGTCTTACCACTGAAGTGCCGGCTGAGACCTAAGTCTCCTTGCAAGTAGAGTAAAATATAATCCACCTTTTTTTTTGCAGACCCTATTCAGAAAGTTTAAAAAAATTAAGATTGCATTTTATTTTTGAAACATTTGACACTTCGATTCAATGAAGTTGCTATTTTGAGTTTAGCATTGATATTGTGAAAATAAATGAGATTCGGATTTCATGTTTTTTAATGTTCATTTTTATTTCACAAATGGATGATTAAGGAATTATGCATCATAAACTGGGAACCTAAGTGAGCTTTATTATGGGTGTACTGTCTTTGCACACACATTAGGCATGTTCTGAGTACAGGGCTTATTCACATTTAGCTTTCTAATGTTTTGTACAGAGCCAGATATCCTACTCTTAACCACATGATTGTATGTGAAGCACATCTTGCTAGTGCCTTATTTGTGTTGATTTTGTTCATGACAAGAATTGTCAGTATGAGAATGTATATCTTATGCAACCAACTTAATAAAGAAGTTAAAAGAAAGAGTGCACTGATTGTTATATTACAAGGAATCCTTCATCTTAAAGGCAGGAGCAATGCAAAATGGAATTAATTTCCCAAGAAAGAAATAGAATATCACAATAGTTCTTTTAAATGTTTGGCAAGGAATAAAAGAAACAGAAAATGCTTTGGAGACTGTGGTTCTATCCTTTTTTTCTTTCAATCTTATTTTTAAAAATGCTTGTTTGTAACTTTCAGGTTGTTTTCCTGTAAACCTTTTCTAATTGTCCATTTGGTTAAGCACAGTCATTCTTGATTAAGGGTGTATGTTCTGAAGCCAAGCTGTCTGAATTTGAATCTTGGCTTCATTACTTAACTAGCTAACTTGAGGCAAATTGCTTACCCTCTGGTATGCCTCAATTTACTTATCTGAAAAATCTGAATAAGAATACTACTGACCCCTCAGTATTTGTGAGGCTGAAGTGAGTTAAAAAAAAAGTCCTTAGAAACAGTGTTCAGCATATAGGAGGCACTTTATAAATGTTGACTGTGATTACTAACTTTTGATAGTATGTAATATAGGGACTCTTAACCTGGAGTCCATGGGGCTGGAACGGGAAGGGTTGTGGTCTTGGGCAGAGGCAGGGTGAGCTGCAGGATTACATGGGTCTCCCTTTAAATTCCTCCAAGACTCCGGGATGTTTTTGGTATTTGCTTTTCTGTTGGTGGTAAATGTACATAAAATTAATGACATTAAAAGTAGCTAATGAGATTACAGCAGATCTAGAAAGGAGTTTATTCTGTTGCCTTTTCATTCCCGGATTTTGAGTCAACATTACAGGGTTAAGCAATTTATGGGAATATAGTTTCTAGGTGACAGGTTATTTATAAACAGCATCATTATTACTGATTTTGTGAATTGAAGTCACTTGGATAAGATACTTAAAGTAATTATTAACCTGCTGTAAATGTTAAGGACAGTATTGCTTATTATGTACTTTGTTTCACAATTCGTAAATTCTTAATTACGTGGTATTTCAGAGGCAACTATAAACAATAATATAACCAAGTACCCACCACTAAGTTGAACTGATGTTAACATTTTGTTCTCTGCGTCAGATTTGCTTTGGTTTTGTCTTTTTAAGAAAACAGATACAGCCTTTTTCTTACTGAAGTACAGCTGGATTTTTCTCACCTTTCACTATTGCAAATAGCACTGAAATATTTTTGTGAAATATGTGAAGGCTTCTCTAGGAATACCACTAGAAGTGGAACTGTTAGAATGTCAGATATTTACATTTCATTTGTAACTCAGATATTATAAAATTGTTTCTAATAAAGTGCTTGTACCAATTTAGTCTCCCACCAATATGTAACAGTCCCTTTGGCCCCATATCCTTGCCAATATTTGATGTTATTGGATTACTGCCAATCTGATGGGTTTGAAATCGTATTTTGATGTTTTTTAATTTGTATTATTCTGATTGCTATTGAGATTAGAGATCTTTTTCTGTACTTATTGGCCACATAGGTTTCCCATACTCTGTATTGCCTAGTCAACATCCTTCATGGTTTGTGCTTTTTGTGTCTTAAGAAATCTTTCTCAATGTCATAAAGATATGTATCTCTGCTTTCTTCTGAATGTTAGTTTTGTTTTTCACTTTTAGGTCTTTAAGCCAATGAATGTAGGAACTGAGAAAACTGACAGAGTGATCTGTGATGTTTCTGCTAGGCAAGGAAGTAAAGAATATTGACATGAAAGTAGAGTAGCTAGGTAGGGAAGAAAGTGAAACCAGAAGAGATGGGGAGAACGGATGGAGACTGACCAGCAGTCCTGGTAAATTCAAAGAACAGATGCAGGCGGGAACTAGCAGAACGGCTGGTTGAGATCAAAGAGAATTCAGAGGGGCAATTAGGGTAAGAAAGTGTAGGGCGTGGTTACAGAGGTAGCGAATAAAGTGTAATGGAGACAAGTGTAATGGCAGAGCACTTGCCAGGTTCTTGATGGTGTGATTAAGGCGCTATTTATCTAAGATCTCTACTAGGGTTGGATAGCCTCTTCAGTTATGATAGATCAATACATGCTGTCAAAAGATACATAATTCAAGTTTTTATTTCTTGAAAAAATCTGGCAATGGTCAGAATAGCAAGGGAAGAGATCAAGAAAAGAGGACAACTATAAAAATTACTTAAAAACATATCAGACAAAATAGACATTAAAACAAAAAAAGTTTTAAAGGCAGAGAAGGACATTACATATTTATAAAGAGGTCAACACGATAATAGGATACAATAACTACTACACATCCAACATAGGAGCACCTAAGTATATAAAGGGAGAAATTCACAGTCATACAACTAGTTGGTATGATAAGTGATTATTTACTTGAAACCTACAAATTTGGGGTATTATGAGACTGGGACTTAAGCCTTCTGTTTTAGCAGGTCACCTCTGATTCCACTCCAGCAGAGAGGGGAGGGCCACCTCTATAGCCTCACATGGGTGGGAACTCCAAGCTCTTCATTGGTGTTTGCTGGTGTGGGTGTTTGTTGGGGCCACTTGTTTTCTGCAGTGTTTGGATCGAGTAGAGTGGTTATTTTCTAAGTTTTCTGTCTTGAGGCTGTCTTTTTTTTTTTTTTTTGCTTAGAGAGAACCAGCTTTGTTGGGTTTTTATTTTCAGTTACAGTTGACATTCACTTAGTTTTAAGCACACAGCATAAAGGTTAGATGTTTATATAACTTAGGAAGTGATCCTCCTGATTAGTACCCACCTGGCACCATAAATAGTTATTACAATATTATTGACTATATTCCCTATGATATACTTTACATCCCCATAACTATTTTGTAACTACTAATTTATACTTAATCCCTTCACCTTTTTCACCCAGTCTCCCCACCCCTTCACATCTGGCAACCATCAGTTTGTTCTCTGTATGTATGAGTTTGTTTCTGTTTGTTCATTTATATTCGTTAGATTCCACGTAGTGAGATCATATGGTATTTGTCTTTCTTGGTCTGACATTTCACTTAGCATAATACCCTCAAGGTCCATCCATGTTGCTGCAAATGGTAAAACTTCCATTCTTTTTTGGTGACTGAGTAATATTGCATTATAGGTATGTACCATGTCTTCTTTATCCATTTGTCTATTGATGGACACTTAGGTTGCCTCCATATCTTGACTATTGTAAATAATGCTGAAATGAACATAAGGGTGCATATATCTTTTCGAATTAGTGTTTTGGATTTTTGGAAAAACCCAGAAGTGGCATTGCTGGGTCATAAACTAGTTCTATTTTTAATTTTTTGAGTGACCTCCATACTGTTTTCCATAGTGGCTGTACCAATTTGCAATCCCACCAACAATGCACAAGGGTTCCCTTTTCTCCACATCATCACCAACCTTGTATGTTAATTTATTGATGATGGCCATTCTGACAGGTGTGCAGCTTTGTTGGATTTATTTTTTTCCCACCTATTGGTGTTTCCAGATTCCATCTTCTTCAGCTCCAACTCTGAGATTTATGAAGTAAAAAAGTTAATCCAGAGAACCACCACCATGTTGTGTGCCCCTAAGGTCCCTAACCAGTCTTTCCTCATCTTTCCACCTTTCAGAAACTCCTTGTTTGTTTTATAAATAATGTCTCAGGTTTTTCTTGTAAAGAGAAATAGGGAAAAGTTCACCTATTCCACGTTTTAGGAAGTAGAATTCCTCATTTTGTTATTTGCCAAACTACATTTTTAGTCAGTGAGGGAAGGGAAGACTTAGGAAAAATGTACTGTTATCTCTCAGTCATTGTTCTGCTTAGTACAATGGTCAGGTGCTAGAATAGTAATCAAAGTGTGGAAATCTTTTTGACACAAATTTTCCCTTTTCCAGGAACTCAAGCCAAAATTGTCATTTCATTTTAAATTAGAAGTTGTGCCCATGCTCCTAATTTTAGCCATGATCTGAGAGGAGATAATTGGAGATTTAAAAAATCATTTCATTACATTTCCAGTTAAAATGGTGGAATAGGTAAATGCTGTGCTTGTCTCCTCTCACAAACATCAAAATTACAACTGAACTACATAATAATGATCATTGAGAAGCACTTCTGGCTGAACTGCAGTCATTACTAAGGATATACAGAAGAAGGGACATGGAGACTGGTAGGAGGGGCACACATGTAGAATGGGTTGTTTCCACATCTCTGTGTGGTGGTTAAAATCAGGAGGGATATCTTGGCTGCAGAGTTTCCCCCAGAAGAGTGAAGGGTCCCAGCCCCACACCAGGCTGCCCAACAAGAGCCAGGAAGAGAGGTCTCCAAAACTTCTGGCTGTAAAAACCAGTGAAGATTATGGAGGGCTGCTGGCGTCCCAGGTGTTTCTCTTAAAGGGACCACGCATGGATTTACAACGGGACTCATTCGCTGTGAGCGCCAGTGCTGGGGCAGCAGCTTGAAAGGCATCAGGGACATAGGGGAAGGAAGTGAGTTGTCTGGCTTCAGAAAGAGGGCTAGAGGGGCAGCTTTCTTTCAGACAAGTGCTGGCAGAAGCTATTGTTTCTTTGTTGAGCCCTCCCCTAACCCAGTGTCAAAATGCAGGTGGCCACCATATCATCAACCTGGCTAATACTGGTTGCCCCACCTTGGTGATTTCCTGAGACCCTGCCCAAACAATTTGCAGCCCCACACAAATAGATTCTAGTAGCTTTTCCATACAAACAGCCTGTCTTGGCTCATGCTACAGATTTTCCTAAACACTCTCAGAGGTTCACAAACCCCAAACAAGCAGCACCTGGCCTCAGCTTGCCCTGTACCTCTTGCTAAACAGCCCCAAGCATGGTAAACAGCCTCAGTTTGAGGCTTGGCTTCCAAGCCCAGAGCAGGTAGTGGCTATCTGCGGAATGCTTTGTGGCTCATGCTACCATATTTTGCCATGTATAATGTGCACTTTTTTACCCAAATTTGTGAGGGGAAAAATAAGGATGTACATTATACATGGGTAGTACTAATTCTGTGTCTATATAAATGTTAATTTTTTTTTAAAGATTTTTATTGGGGAATTAGGGGATGGGAACAGCGCTGGGGAATTGGGGGAAGGGGAACAGACAAGTTGCTGTCCTTTTGTTCTTCAGTCTAGTTGTGGAGGACATTGCTTCA